CGCCGTTACCGCATGCCATCTCCACTTGCACCAGCGAGTGAAAATGAAGATCGAGCGATCATGCCTGAAAATGCGCCTCTTTGCTCTACAATACCTTTACTCTTTCGCAACGAAGATTGAGCCTCAAGGCGTCGGTAGAAGCTCAGTCACGGGCGTTTATGCCGAAAGGAAGTCCTCCGGGAGCACGCAACAAGGGCGGACCTCATTCCCCGATAGCCCACACACGGGTGTTGGCGACGACGCGGGGCGCGGCCGGGCTTACCTGGAACTGCTGGACCGGGTACGCCGCGCCCATGACCCCAGCGGGCTGCTGCACGATCTGCTGGCCCGCCATGTGGGGCTGTCCCGGCATGGCGTACGGCACCTGCATGCCCATCCTGACAACAGCGGGCCCGACGGTCAGAACGGGCGAGGCAGGTCGGGTCACATGGGGTGCATCGCGGCGGGTCACTTCAGACGTGCCGCGGCAGGTGATGGGACAGAGAACGAGCCGGGTAACGCGACGGTGACTGCATCCTTCATCACGCGAACGCATCGGTGGCGGCTGGAACACTGACTAACCTCGCAGTCGTGCCCATGTCGTTAGAGCCGACGGAGCTTGCTAAGGCTTAAAGGGGACTCGAGGGCATTTTGGTTCGTTCCATATCGGCAGTGTCTGTACGGACATCTCATATTGGTACGGCATTTAGGCACAAGTGATGGGCAAAGCATGTGGCAGCCGGCGCTGGTTCCATTAAAGGCCGTATACCCCTTGTTGTACTTTTCACTTATTGTTAGGTCAGACTAGTCCGATTTTATCGAAAATACCAGCTTTCTTGAAATCCTGGATAGCTATGAATTTCTACTTGAAATGGCCGTTTCGGCGGGAGAAATCTCTCTGGACTTCCTGCTCACCACTATGAAAGTTACGCGCATGCAAGCCTTCTTTTTCAACGCGTATGTTTCGTAGCGTTTGCAACATACTACATTGTCAAAATGTTTGTATAATAAATGTTACGAAAGCTTGAAACGCTCTGTTAAGATGAAAATATATGCGTACATCAGGCTTTATGCCGAGAATTCGACGAAACGTTATACTATGGCTCTGATTTCTCCCCAATGACGTTTAGCACAGTAGCCTTTTTCGAAGCGCATTACGGATTTGGGAAATCTATCACATAATCTAAAGTGACGCACTGGTTCAAAACTTCAAGCAATGCGTATCTCGATAACTAGCCCTCACCGCCTGCCGTGCCAATCACAAACGTTCCATTGTACTTACGTCATCCATACCGATAGATGTTTCGCTTTAAGCACGCAGTCCCACAATGTGCGCGTTAAACAGCTAAAAAGTGATACCCCTAGCCCGTAACAGCAGGCAACAGCCCTCAGCAGATTCTACGCTCGACATGACGACGGCGGCCGTGACAGCTACAGTTGTGGCGGACCCAGAATACGCTCTGGAACTACCAAGAAAGCAAAGAGTGCAATGCTGTTACAGAGCGTTGACAGCGTAATTTGGACTCGAATGTTATTAAAAGCTATATCCTTAATATATATCGATGGTGTTGCGGCGGCACTGCCCAGTACTCTTATCAGACCAAATGGTCACGAGATCTCACCAGAGGTTGTTTTTCAAATATGCCCCGAAAGATAGGACACCCCATTTGACATTGACGCGTTGTTTGGGGAGGAAGGGGAAAGGGTGCTGCAGCGGAACGGACACACTCAGCCGGCAGCAGGGGCCAGCCTGGATTGATTCGGATGTCGGGCGGGCGGCGCGCAGGCGACCTGAGAGATAGACTGCACCGGCCGCTTACAAGGGATGCGGTACAGGCTACCCTGCGGCACGCGCGAACTTCCGCTCCTGTTCACGGCGTTCGAGGCCGATATCAGCGTCCGGGTGTTTCAGAAACAGAGATCTAACGTTCTCAAATAATTTAAGAAGTTCGAAAACCTGCAATTTCGTCTACAAAAATGATGAGTTTTTTGCTCCTGATGTTGCGGGTCAAGTTGTTCGTCGACAAGTCGTTGCTGCTCAAGTAAGATCTTCTTACGAGCGTTGATTGGCTCCATGTTGGACATAATTATCATTGGAGCATTATTGGGGCCCTGCATGGAAATGTTATCCATGTCCACAATTTTGCCACACACATCCAGCCAAGTGAATACGCTCTCAGAGTACCTTATGCTCAATATGCTCTCGCTCATCCGCGTGACAGCCTGGAGAAGGGACAAAACCTCGTGTTCTCCTCAAGTTAATCGAAAGCGCGGGGCGTCTACACTTATGTCCCAACATTAGTTAACAACAATGTACCTACGTCCGATTTTCTTGGCAAATGTGACTGGGTATCTACGTTAAGCCATGCTAAACAATCCGTGCTTAACATTCCACGGGCAGAAGCGGCAGAGCCGCGCGTCTATACCTTGTGTGATGCCGGGCCTATCCGCCTGGCATCACACCTGAGCCAATCTGATTAAGGCTTCGCTCTATTTGTGCTCGCATTCGCAGCTGGGCTGGCCTGCGTCAGATGGCGAACCCTTTCAGAGCGACTCGCCGAGAACTAATTCAAGAACGGGTTGTTCGCTGATTGGACGCGCCGAGCGCCATGGCCAGGCCATTAAAATAAATACTCGTACGAGTCCGACCAGCACGTGAGCACATTACATTATTAAAAGTTCCACGACCGGACTAACGACGGTGACTAAGGCGCAGAATTAATTGGCGAGCCAAGATTTACGGGAATTCGACCCACGCCGGCTTCGCGCATGAGTAGTACGGCCGTCGTCTAATTACGTTGCTCTTTAAGCTTACTTCCTTCTACTTTTCACTACTCCATCCAGAACTATAACCATAGACCTTCTTTCTACCTCTCGGGTCCCCCCTTCTCTCTCCCTCTCTTTCTTTCCGACTGGTCACTGGTGTTGCATTTCCTCCCTCCCCCCCCCAAATAAGCCAGCGTCTCCCCGCCCTCTCTCTCTCTCTCTCTCTCTTCTCTCTCTCTCTCTGCCCGTTTCGGACCAGCTGGCAGGCGCTGCCTACACCGGCCCAGACGCCGCGACCCAGCCGGGGATAATCGGTCCATCAGCGCCGGCACAACGTTGGACGGACCCATTTTACGTCGCCGCAGACAGCCATGGTTTAAACATGAGACCAGGGAGCGTCGCGTGCAGAATAACAACAAGCGTGACTTTGTATGAATATTTAAATGGCGGATACGGGCCCGTCGCTTCTTCAGGGTCCCGCACAGCGGACGAGGGGCACGTGAAGGGCGCGCGGCTCAGCGATGTCTCACCGCCGCGCGACATCGGACAACACGCATGGTTATTGTGTCACACTGGGAGGCCCCATCTCACAGGCGGATAGAAAACCCGCCCGGAAATAACAGACCGAAATGTTTCGTGTGGTGCATTGTGGTTTCCGAATTGTTCCGTGTGGTTCATTGTGGTTTCCGAATTGTTCCGTGTGGGCGAAATGTTCCCCAGCGTGGACCACTACATCAGCTGGTCCATGTTAAAAACAACAGATGAACTCTGATGCCTTTTGGCACGTCTGTTCAAAGGAATGCATCAGTTCGGGGAACAAATTATTTGGATGACTTCGCTTGAACTGGATGCGAAAACAAAGGCCAAAATGTGTTTATGGCATGCTTTACAAACCATGTGGTTTCACGACAGTCTTCCATTTTAGCAATCCTGCCAACGGTGCATCTGTACCTACGTACGCACAACCTGCAAGCACTCTTCAATAATGCTGACGAATCGCTGGATCGTGGCACGATGTGACAATCATTCCAAAACAAAACAACGGGGGCGAGGGGGGGGAATGCATTTGCTTCACAGCCAACCACGTCCCTATCAAATGCCGCCGCACGTTTTTAGTAGCTGTGTGCACATAAAATGCGTACTGGGTGGCTCCTCTCGGTAATGGCAGGCGCATGTATGACTACGTACCACACCACATTTGACAAAGAGCGACGCCTGAGGGCCGGGGTGCGAACGGTGTCGATGTGCTCAGTCCACAGACACGACTAACATCAGACGGACGTGTGCTCCCAGAGCGGCGCAGAGAGCAGGACACGTCCGAAGTCGATCGGCCGGTCTCGCGCGGGCAGCACCTTAGGCTGGCGGCTCGCTCTGGAGGTCGGCGCCCTCTCCAGAGCGGCCGCAGCGCCTGTCCGGAGTTCCCGGTAGGAGCTCCCGTCCGGAGCTCCCGTCAGGAGCTCCCATTCAGAGCTCCTGTCCGGAGCTCCTGTCTGGCCGACACCCGGGGCTCACCGCGCTCCCCAGTGGCCGCGCCCAGCGCCAGCACCGCATATTTGAGGATTTGATTAGTGCTTTTATTTGGCTACTGGGAGGACGGTTTGATTTCCCCCGGGGTGAGGACTGCTTCTTCTCGCTATAAAGGCTCTGCAGTCAGTCCGCCACCGAGTCAGCCGGGGCACCGGTCCTGAATGTGCGACTGCAAAGGCGCCAGCGCCGTCGGTGGAAATGGACCGAGCTTAGTTAAAAACAAACTTCCTCCGGCAGAATGCCGCCAAGATTGTAAAACTCTAACTGAAGCGAGTGAAGTTCTGCCTATGCCGCACACAGAACCGTTTCAATCATCCGCTAGAGTAGGCAATCAAAACTTTTTAGTCCAAATAATGTAGTTGTCTCAAATGCGCGACGAATTTGCTTGTCTTAAGTGCAGCCTCCGAGATGACGCGACCGTGACACACGTTCCAATCGACCCTGGCAGGCTGCTGGGCGAGGGTGCGCGCATCACACGATGAAGTGATACCGACTGGTGGCGTGTGGCCGGAGAGCATGCGCCGTCCATGACCCCCGGATGGCCGGGGAGCAGCAGTGGCAGTGAAGCAGGCGTGCTGTACACACATGCCGGGGGCCGGGTCCAGCGAGGCTCACCTGTACTCAGCAGCCACCGGCGCCGGCCGTCGCCTGTCCGGGCTGGCATGCCCTCGGACGGCCGGCAGAGGCCCCGCTCCCACCGGGCCCTCACTCACGCCCACACAGCGTCAAACAAGCCCCACTTCAGTCTGTATTGATCGCTCCTCTCACGACACTGTATACAGGAGTCGGAGTCGCCATGGGCCGTGGACTCGGTCCCCGAGTCAGCAGCATCATCACCAGCGGCTTCGAGCCTGCAGTTCCGGGCTCGCTCTCAGAGGCCGCTCAGAGCCAGCACCTGCAGCTCTGAGTCACCGCCTGCGACTCCGAGCCATCACCGACGGCTCCAAGCCATCAACAGCAACTCTGGGCCATCACCAGCGACTCCGAGCCATCAACAGCGACTCCGAGCCAACACCAGCGGCTGCGGGGCCACACCAGTGATTCGGCGCCATCACCAGCGGCCCAGTCGGGCTGGCCAGCACCGGCTCCGGCGCCGCAGCGCCGCGTTTGTCAAGTGTCTGCGACTGTGCGCGGGGGATTACGACGCCGGGCCGCCCTGCGCTCCTCCGTAGTCCTGGGTCATGCCACTAAAAAGGAACCAAACGAACCAAGTAAACAAAAGCCGACCACCGCTCAACAGCCTGGGGCCGACGTAACACAGAGCCAAACCCGATGCCCTCGAAACTGAATCAAGAACTGACCAGGCCAGGATGCAGCATACCCGATGCAATCGAACACAAACGGGAGCATGACGAAAGCGCCGAGTGGCAAAAAGACAGGTGCGCCGCGCGGCGCCCACTCACCCCTGTTGGTATCCGTACTGGTAGCCGTACTGGATTCCGTAGCCCTGCATGCCCTGCATCTGGGCGGCGGCCGGGTAGCCCTGCGGGTACCAGTAGCCCATCTGGCCGTAGCTGTTGTATGGGTACTGGGCGCCAGCGGCCGGTAGGGAGGCGAACCCAGCCGGGCCGCCGGCCGCCGGCGCGTGGTTCGGGTCGCCCGACTCCTTGCCCCAGGAGCACTTGACCAGCTGGCCGTTGATCTCGGTGTTGTGCACCGACACGATGGCGTTGGTGGCCGACTCCTTGGTGGAGAACCTGCCGAATATGGCGCGGCCGGTGAGCGGCGGCAAGGCGCAGACCAATGCAGCGACCGTTCCCCGCTGACCACCCACCCGACGCTATCCACCGACGCGCAGCAGACCCCGGCAACGGCCGCTGACCACCGACCCGACACTATCCACCCACGCGCAGCAGACCCCGTCTGACCACCGACCCGACACTATCCACCCACGCGCAGCAGACCCCGGCAACGGCCGCTGACCACCGACCCGACACTATCCACCCACGCGCAGCAGACCCCGTCTGACCACCGACCCGACACTATCCACCGACGCGCAGCAGACCCCGGCAACGGCCGCTGACCACCGACCCGACACTATCCGCCGACGCGCAGCAGACCCCGGCAACGGCCGCGGACCACTGACCCGACACTATCCTCCGGCGCGCGGCGGACCCCGGCAACGGCCGCTGACCACCGACCCGACACTATCCTCCGACGCGCAGCAGACCCCGGCAACGGCCGCTGACCACTGACCCGACACTATCCTTCGGCGCGCAGCGGACCCCGACAGCGGCTATGCTCCGCGTGCAGAGCACGGTAAGGATATCACCTCGAGCCACATGGCACACGAGACGACCGGACTCGATCGCTTTGGAACCGCTCCGCGCCCAGCCTTTTCCATGGCAACGAACGGCTAATATAGTTGTCAGTGAGGCGGGGAAGTTCAGGCCTGGACAAGGTACAACAAGGAGCCTTTATGCAAATACATCATCACTGAGCGCAGAGGTGAGGCACATACATTTCCCGCAATAAGCATGATTTCATTTAGCGCCATAACGTTTCCAGAAATGCCAAGCGTGTCACTTAGCACCAGGAAATAGCATGATGCTAAAATGCGTTGTAACCCTGGTGATATATTCCAGGTAAAGTTTCAGCCACGCTTGGGTGCGACTTATAAATAATACGATCCCATCTCGTTGAAGATAAGAAAACTTAAAATTTCTGATGATGAACTGATGACCATGATGAAATAATGAACAAGCGCATTACATACGTCATTTCCGCTACTGGACGATTCCTCGGTGATTTTCTTAGGAACGCTATCGGCCCCTAATGTATGATGCATAAAATAACATGCAATTAACAAGTTCCAACGAGGCGATAATGATTGACGAGCCATCTCGACTCCAATCTCACATATGACATTTCAGTATTGATCTTAAGTGTTTGGCTCATTATTGTCCTTTGAGCGATCATCCAGCCACTTAAAAGTTTTTTGCACGATCTTCACAACATGAAGCCTTGGGCCACCGTCATCCATTACTCTAGAGCCATCCCCGCATCCAGCTCATGCCCTCGCCGTGTTCCACGTTCATGCACGCTCTCTCGCGTCGGTTTGGCGAGCAGCCGGTCCCAGCAACCCCGTGTTTGATGCGATCTCAAGCGGTTCGAAGTTGGCTCCAAGCACCGCCGCAGGAGACTGAACTTGCTAGACGGGCCTTCTAGTTGTTTAACAACTAGGTTACCCCGAACGCCCGGCATCCATTTGCAGTTCCTCGAAATACTCTCCTCTAGTAAATATCGCTTACTTGAAACTCTACAAATTGTACGCTAGCGGCCTAAGCACAGTTCATAAGCTTGTACCAGGCGCATAATTTTTAGTCAAGCCGTGTAAATCTAGTCGGGCCTGAAGAAATTTATTATTTTCGCCGACGTTCCGTGAAACGACTAAGCCAATCTTGAAACGCCCAGTTTCACAAAACGCCACAAACTATGCATAATTCAAGCATTCTGGTAGATGGATAGAGGGTAACGCGCACATATAGAATGACAGGGAACAAGCCACACGAACGCTTCATTGTCCCATCCAATACGGGCTGCAGCCATATCGGGTATCAATCTTGCCGGCGTCGCATAAATCAACTCCGAATAAGCCCTATTCAGAGGTGGGGCCGACGCGGATGGATAGGCAGCTGTTCGCAGCGCGGCGCCGATGGACTTTTAACGCGCCGTGCCAATCGGGCGGCCGGCGTCGGCGGCTGCGGGACGGCGCGCCGCCAGGCCCGCTCCTGACCGAGTACCTGTTGGGCGGCGGCCGGCGCCATTTCGGCACGTTCACGAGCCCGTCACGGCTCGGAGCCAGCTGGGGCCGGCGGCGCCGGCACGACATCAGGCCGCCGCCCAGCGGGCCGCCCACACCAGAATCGGCCGTCGCCGGCGCGGCCAGACGCCATGCATGGCCGGGCGTCGCCGACCCCGATTGGCTTCGCCAGATGTCGGCGCGTTACCGGCCGGCCAGCGGGCGCATCCAAAATGGAGCAGCCGCCGGCAGCGACGTTAACTTTTAACCTGGCCCGCTGACGCAGTGCATCAATGACTGATACGCGGCGGCGGTACCTGATGAGCCGCACTCGGCGTCGAATAAATCAAATTTGGCCGCCGGCCGGGCGGCGGCGTCGGCGGTGGGATGGCAGCGGTCGGCCGCGGACGCCAGGGCAGCGACCGGCGCGACGCCGCCATTACGACGCGGCGCAGATTAGCCGGCTGACAAGGGTCGGCCATCAGCGGGGTGTTTGCAGACAGCCGCGGTGGCCAGCGGCTGGTCAGAGGCCGCCGTCAGCCGGCGCGGCCACCGTCCCGCCCGGCCGGCAGCTCGCGCCGCCGAGGAAGGGATGCCGGCACGGGCTGGCGTCGGGTCCTCGACACACCGCCTCTCTCCCCCCGCCCCACCCCCTCCACCACACACACAAACACACGCCGCACAGACGGCAGCGCTGCCGCTCCTACCCGCCGCCGCCACCGCCGGCTGTCAGCGCGCGATAGACGCCAGCTCGGTGTCAACAGCCCAGTCGGCGGCCGGCTTTCATCCCCCGGCGGCGGCCAGACGACAGGCGACAACGCTGACGTCACTACGGCACTCGGTGACGTCACCGGCGTGTCGACTGCTCTAGCATCATGCCCTGCGTTCACTCAGGTCTGGCTTCGAAATGTAACTGCCTGGGACAAGACCTCCGTGCACTGACAAACACACATACTTTAAGAATACCCGTCACGTATGCGTCACAAAAGTAGCTTACTCCGCTGTAGGGGCTTCAGTTTTGCATAAGACATTCATGTTGGGCGGGCGCGACGAATCTAATGGTTTCGTGTTCTGTTGACGAAGTAGGTTACATATGCAACTTATGTCAGCAGGGGAGGCAGTGTAGGATGTGACCAGTTGTGCGCTTGGTAGAATGATAGGCATATACACAAAGTGACAAGCTTAGCAATCTGGAATGTGTAGTTATCAATGCGTTGCATGGACACCCAACTAACCCTGCCACCAGCACAGTCATAATTTTGTGCTGCAAACACACAGCAATACTATGTCAGTCGCGTGGTTCAGTTCTCCATCGACCGATTTAAAGATCAAAGACGCGTGATCGGTAACAAGTCGCTCGAATGAACAAGATGGCGCGGAGAACCTCCGAACTTCCGATCCACTTTTCGTTTTCATTCAGCCCGTCAGCTCGACCTCATTCAGCTCTGGAGGGCTTGGCCCAAATATGAGGTAACGTGATGATGAAATACCCCGGCAGTTAACCCTATTGCGACGTTAGTATGCAGGGAGTATGCCACATTTTTGCGCCTTTCAGTTATTGTTAGGTCACACGTGTTCGATTTGAAAGCAATACCAGTTTTCTCGAAATGCTTCCGAATATATCAGAATTTTGATCTGCTAGAAACGGTTTGCCGCTCCCGCGTGATAAATCTCACTGGACTCGCCGCCCATCACCATAAAAATAAATAATTTTCCTTTACTTTCCGTTTCCAACGTGTGTGCTCTTTAACGTTTGCAACAAACTAATCCATAATAATTGCTATGAAAGCCTGAAACACTCTAAGGCAAAAAAAAGTGCAAACATGATGTCATTATCACGTTGAGTTCACTGAAACGTTATGCTATGGCTTTGATTTCTCTCCTATGACGCTTAGCAAAGTGGTTCTTTTCGTCGAGCGCCTTGACTTTGGGAAACGGACGCATCACATGGTCTATCATGACGCACTGACTCAAACTTCAATCAATGTATGTCCCGGTAAATGGCCTAGGCCGCCCACAGTGCTAATCGCAAATGTGCCATAGTACCGACGTCATTCTTACTGGTAGAAGTATCCTTTTTAATTCCGCAGGCCCGCAATGTGCGGCCTAAAACAGCTGAAATGTGACATCTCTAGTCCGCAACAGGTCACGGCGGCCCTCAACAGATTCGGCCGTCGTCAGCTGTCGCAGGCAAGGGCTACACCCTGCGGCTACAAACGAAACAGTACTGTTGTGACAAAACATTGACAGTATAACTCGGACTCGAAAGTACCTAAACTCAATCTTCTCAATTTACCTTGATGCTGTGCGCTATCATTAGACTGAACTTATCCTGAGATATCAACAGAGCTTGTTATGGAAACATGACCAAAAGGTGAAACGCTCCCTTTAAAAAAGTGTCATTTTCAAAAAATGTGAAAAATACAGCGAACGTGATTCAATTTGACCACTACAGCGTGCTACGAATAAATAGTGCCGATATCTGCCATGAGGACGGACCGGCGAGATGTCCTGCTCGCTTTGGCAGTGTACATCATTGGTGACGAGGTCATGGGGGCAATGAGCACACTATGAAAAAGCATAATCATTTCACACCTTAAGTGAATGTCGCTGTCAAATTAATTTCCGTTTGTTACTTCATACTCCTTACCGTGTCGTAACAATCGAAACGCCAGATACGAAATTGACCATCATTCGCGCTTTATAACGGTTTTCTAAAAAGTGTCAGCCATTCCTACCAACGTGGCGTGACTTAACAACAGCGACGCACCTCTAGCCCTCTGACGGCCCGTCGCTAAGCGGCCGTGCCGGGCCAGACGTTCCGCCGCCGGCCCGCCCTGGGAGCCGCCCCCCACACCGCGGCGCGGGGGACGCTCGGCACGTCTCGGCAGCCGGCCAGGCTGCGCGCTCCGCCGCTGGGAGCCGCCCCCACACCCGGTCACCACGGCGCGGGGAACGCCCCGCACGTCTCATCTACGCCGAGCAGATCACACCCGGAGGCCCGCCCCCAGCTGCCCACCAGCGGGTTCCGCCGGACGCCGCCCTCTCCTTAGGATCGGCTCGCAAATCGCGTCGAAAACCGTCCAGATTTCCCGTCGCCCTGGCATTCTAGCCGACTGAGGCCGACCCGGCGCGGGCTACGCGGGTGACACGGGCACACGGCACGCGGCCGAAGGCCGCGATCGGAGAGCAGCACCGAGCAGAACTAAGCTACCGGCACACTGACGAGCCCAGCCGCTGCACGGCACGTACCTGACGAAGGCGTAGCCCTTGTCCTTGAAGACGCGGATCTCGTGAATGAGCCCGTACGGGCTGAATGTCTTCTGTATGAGCTCCTCGGAGAGGCCAAGCGTGACGCCGCCGCAGTAGACGGTGAAGTTGGTGGGCGAGCTCTGGTTGAACACCTCCTCGTAGCTGAGCGGCTTGGCGTTGGCTGCGGCAGCGGTCAGGTCACATGAGGCCAGGGCACGGCCACAGCCGGTGCAGCTGCACACGGCACGCGTTACTGCAGGCCGCAGGCAGACGGCAGGCAGCGTCAGCCGCTGGCAGGTGGGCCAGTGACGGGGCCGCAGCTCTGCAGCAGGTGGCAATTGGGTTACCGGCACATCGCAACACTGCATTTGTGTTGGTCTATGTGACACGCGCTGAGGTGCGGGACAATGACCCAGACGCGCTCCTTTCGCTGGCCGTCGTAAGGTCCCTTCTCGAAAGCCCAGATAGCCTGTCTGAGTCTGCGGATTCCGCCATGGCCTTTGCAAGGCACGGAGCCGGAATCCGTCAAGAGGAGAGGCGGTGGGATAAACAAGACCAATGCCAAAAATGAAGCCAATCGCAAGCACCGGCGAGATAGGTAACGGCGGAATAATATATGCACGCGCGTCTCATGGCCAGGACTGCCTCCGCTGCTGCGCCCGTGAGCTTGACCAGGATCCAACAATCAGTCCTGCCTGAGAGACGTAAGACGTTGCTCACGTTTCCAGCGCATGCAAACCGCAACCCGGCCAGTCAGGCGCGACCGAGGCCTGACCGCAAGCCCGTCCTCAGCAGCGTCTTCCGGCCCGCGCTGTGCCATCGGTAGTGTGGCAGTCTATTTTCAAAAACCACAGCCAGTGTCGCCAGTGGTCTTCCACCCGTGGGACGGTGGATCAAATACTGTGACACAGCCGCGTCCCGGTCCTATCACACCATTGGAACAACGGATCAGGCGCCGTGTCACGGCAGCGTCCTTGGTCCTATCCCACTAATGGGGCTGTGGATCAATTACTGTGACGCTGTGGCGTCCCAAGCCCCCTTGCGTTGCCAGGCGCTGGAGCTGTCATACCAGGATTTAGGCAGAAACCGATTTTGCAAGATAAAATGCTTGTGTCCTCAACGTGTGCTACAGACACTATGCTACCAAAGTCCCTACTGAGCGGCATCAACAAGGCGCCAGGTGCGACATTTTCATAAAACGCACTGTAAAAAGAGATGAGCAGGCCTCGTGTTCTATATCGGTTGGCGGCGAGTTTTGGCGAGCGCTCGGCATCCCGTGCGACGGCCTGAGTTTGTGTGGCTCTGCAAGACATTTTTGCTGAGCTCCAAAAGTAGCCGGCTGCTGACTGGCTCAAATTTCACTTCAGCTGTGGCGAAAGCTTGTAGTGGCTGGGAGCGATCGAATCCAAATACATGTACTAGGCAAGCTTTCAAACACACGGATGACCTGCACGTGCGGGGAGCTGACCTCCACGCGTGGTCATCTGCGCTTGTTTGCAGGGATCGTCTGTCGCCACAGAGCTGCCCATCAGGTGGCGCTTGCGAGCTCCTCATCTGACAAACGGCGTTTCCAACAGCCGTATGCCGTCGCATGGCGCTATTGGTCTCCCGCCCAGCATGCGCCAGTTCCTAAAGCTTATCAGATGTGGATTCCTAAAGTGTTCATGGGCCCTAGTGACATGGAATCATCGCCAGTGCTATCACAACACTGGGATAGCAGATCCAGCACCGCCCCACAGCCGCTACAGAGGCGGGAGCCGGCCGGTGGCGACCACCGGGGGGGGGGGGGGGGGGGGCAGCGGGACACAGGCTGACCGGGGCCGACGGCGTGCCGGCGGGAGGGGGGGGGGGGGGTCAGCAGGACACAGGCGGGCCAGGGCCGACGGCGTGCCCGCGCCCCGTCGGTCGCCCCCCCCCCCTCCCCGCTCTGGGGCAGCCGTCGGGGGGGGGGGGGGGGTCAGCAGGACACCAGGGCCGACGGCGTGCCGGCGGGAGGGGGGGGTGGGGGGTCAGCAGGACACAGGCAGGCCAGGGCCGACGGCGTGCCGGCGCCCCGTCGGTCGCCCCCTCCCCCCCTCCCCGCTCTGGGGCAGCCGTCCGGTTATGGCGGCGCCCCGCCTGCGGAATGCGGCCCGTATAAAAACGCCGTAAAACCCGGCTGCCGCCGGACCTCCATATGACAGGCCATCAACTCTGAAGTCGGGCGGGCCACAGACGGTCTTGAGCAGGCGACCAATGTTCAGCGTGCAATGCCCGGCGCTCGTTCACGCTCCACGACCAGCTCTTATCCAGCCCGTACGCTGAATCAGGCTAGTAAGAATGCGTCGATTGATCGGAACGCTGGTTTGACATTTGTTCAACCAACTATGCTCTGTACTTCATTTCCATAGAGTAGCTATATCAAATAACTGCGAACAAAATAGCAAGCAGATTATGATACCATTTCAATAAAACCTAACATAATTAATTGCATATTTTCCCTAAAGCGGGCATCAACAAAAACGGATTTCAAAAAGCGGCAATCGCAAGTACCAAACAAATTCAATATTGACACATTCGTGTGTTATCCTCATCGGCAGCGGACTGGGTCGGCAACGGACTGGTTTGGCAGCGGACTGGGTCGGCAGCGGGCTGTGTCGGCAGTGGACTGGGTCGGCAGCGGGCTGGGTCGGTAGTGGACTGTGTCGGCAGCGGGCCGGGTCGGCAGCGGACTGGGTCGACAGTGGACTGCCGACGCCGCCTGTTGAACAGATCTCAACCCACCAGTCGCCTCCCACATGGGCAATACTGGCGACAAACCCGGCAGAATTATTACAGTGTAGAAATGTAGTATCAAAAAAGGAAGGATTTGAAATTAGTCAGCAGGGTGCGCCTCTCCATGTGGTCTACTAAAATAGCCAACTTCCCGGTAGGTCTGTGCGTGCCCAATCCCTTCAAAGCCAGCCGTCCCCGGCAAGCGAAGTACGTAAAGGTAACTTTACCCTCCCGAATCAAGGCGAAATTGGGACCCGTCGAGAGCATTTGCTGCTACCAGTGCTTGTTGATTATCTCTTGGTATACCCGCTACGACGAATGTGATTAATATATCATTACCCCCAACTAACTTCGGTCTGAGTTAAGCACCCCTGAGTCGAGTCGCAAACAGTTTACCACCGGAGTCTCGGTCCCAGGACTCTGTCGTGCCGCTGCACCGGGTTCCCAGTTCTGTTGTCTCCAAGCTTCCCAATGATTAGTTGCTGCAAACTTCACGAGAGGCAAACAGGGTCCATATGCAGCAACACCTGCGAGAGAACGCGTCTATATCCGCAGACCAAGCCAGCGATGCAGGATAGAAGTAGGTCCGGAAGATGCACTCCGTGGTACGGGCGGGAAAGTCAACGGAAGACCTCTCTCATACTTTTAGCGAGATGGAAAGCATATCTAGACGCTGGCGATGTTATGGCCTCCGACACAATCAACATCTCAGGTCATTTAGCGTTGAAGTCCGTCATGCCGACGGCCGCGGGGACGACAAAACCCTCATTGCGCCGACGCCAGACGTCACACGTCTAACGTCATGCCACCGGGCGGACCGGGCCGCGCCAGTCAGCCTCCCACCGGGCCTGACGGCGACATGACCCCTCACAAAACGGCCCGGGTTCCCGTTACGAAACCGCCACGATGACAGCCACATGCCTACGGTCTCGCATTCAGGCTGCACCGGTAAAATTTCCCATGGACACGGAGTCAATGGGAATGCATCACGAACACATAGCGAGGACGGGCCCCGTATCCTCGACAAGCAGGAGCGGGTGGAAGTAGGTCCGCGACGCACAAGGCACAAATGCATGTCGAGCGAGTAGATCATCCCGCTGGGTGCCGCAGCCAACCGGGTGCGGTCGGAAGCAAGTCCCAGACCCACACGGCCGGGCCAGAGACCGACGCCGACACGGACCTGACCGCATCCGACGGCGATCAGTGCGTGGCGGCGCGTCGGCCAGCGCGTCCATGTGTCGGGCGAGCGGCCGGGTCAGGTCAGGGGATCGATACACCACGCCTACAGACGCCGGCGACGTCCGCGTCCGTCGAGTAGCCCGCCCACGTCGCTATCAAACGGCCCATCGCCGACGGGCTCGAGCGTTCAGCGGCGAACACCGCCGCTCCAGTCATCTGTTTCCATCGGCTGGAGGGCGGGCCCGACCGGCGGCCGCTCTCCGCCGGCCTGACGGCCTGTTTCCCGTGTCGCCGTGCCTCTGGAGGGTCGGCATCCGGCGTGCGCCGGCCGCCGCCCAGCCGCCCCGGCCGCCCCGACAGCCGCACAATACCGGCGCGGCCGCCAGTTCGACGCCGGAAGCGCCGTCTATCGAGGCCGGCGGACGGGGCCGGCCGGCGCCGTGTGACCCGCCGCCGCCAAGCCGCGGCCCGCGCCGAGCCGGCGGCCGCCGGACAGTGCCGGTTGACTCGCGGCCGCCGGCAGCGCCAGCTCCCGCCGGAAGAGCGCGCTGTCAGCGGCCACTAAGTGAAATATAATGACCATGCCGACTGTCTGGCTTGATCACCATAAGTATGAATGATCTTCACACTGCGGAGATAATTACCCCACGGACTCCGGTGCCAGCATCCCAGTTACAAAAGCAGGTGTGGAGAAAGTACAAGTGGGCGTCGGGGATAAGACAGGGATGCACTTTACGCAGGACAGAAACGAAAAGCACATCAAAGGATAACAGAACCGAAGCAGAACAGGAGATCACAAAAGGACAGATAGTCGTTATCGCGCTGATAAGAGGGTCATGTTTAGACAACAATGAACTGAACTAACTAACTGTGAACAATGAGCTAACAATGAACGTTTCTGGCTGACACCAAAAACGAGAGCGTCAGGAAAATCAAGCAATGATGCCTCATGTCAACGATCACCAAGCGATTGAAAGCCTGGTTAGTAGTCTGCTTAAGTCAAGGAGCAACCAGTGGTGCGCGCTTCAGACTTCAGATATCAGTCACCATCTCAGAAGAGTTCGATCAGCATGGAACCTAGTATGCACAGCGCAGCGGAGTCACCGTCTTCTGCCCACAGCGGAGCGACAGCCGGGCAGCGTCCTCTGCCCACAGCGGAGTGGCAGCCGAGCGTTGTCCTCTGCCCACAGCGGAGTGGCAGCCGAGCGGCGTCCTCTGCCCACAGCGGAGCGACAGCCGGGCAGCGTC